AACTGACAGTAATGAACTACATAAATTTTATTGATGTTTCTAGAAATAGATCATAATATACCATAAGATTTGTAATGCTTCATATAATAGAAGTTCAGACTCAAATAGGAAAGTACACGGTTATCGTACAACTTCGCAAGACTTCAGCAATCTTTAGATTTTCACAATCTGCTGCTTATATCATATATATTGTAATGACAGTAATCCAAACTACATTACTCATAGATGCCAAACTTTGACTGCTCTGAGTCCTGAATGTTTTTCACAAAAATTTCAAAATTGTTGTCAGAGTAATAAGATCTGGAATACTGTTTTAACCGTATGTGTGGGAAAGTTTTTTTTCTCTAAAATAAAGCAGAAAAGACCAATAAATTCACTTGCTTATCAAGATAGTGTTATGTGAGCCACATGTACTTGAGAACAATTGTACCAGTGATCGAAATGGCATACTCATTTAAAAAATACTCTTCCTTACTGTAAAAGTTGTAATTTGTAATAAAATAATTCCACAGTCTGTTATTGTACATCACATCTTAAATTCAGTAATCATAAAATGCCTTCATAAAGCTTTTACTTTGATTTTCTTTATGAAAGCAGCCTTGAAGTTGAATTAGTTCAAAGATATAGTAGTGCATTTAGCTCCAGAAATATACTGTACTTTAAAGCAATCTTTTAAATCTTCCAAACTTAATACTGTCTAGCTTTCACAGTTCATAGCACAAGCTTCTGGTGTTAAAAAACTTTCAAATTCGTAACATAATTCACTTAATTTAATAATTTTTAACTAGCTTGTATAGACTTATCATACGTATTAATAAGTCATATACAATTTATACCTTGTATCTATATTGTAAGTGCAGTTTAATGAACATTATTACTGTTTCTGAAATAAAAAAACTTACCCGAAGTAACTGCAGACTGCTTTGGAATATCAATTGCTATTTCTTTTAAACTCTGAACATACTTTACTTTGTCTACAATGGGAATTAAAATGTTGAGTCCCTATGATGAAAAGAAAATGTTTGTCATGAACGTTTACTCAGAAGACTATAAATGCAGTGTCAGTAATAATGCTACATACTTTATCTAGTATGGATCATAGCATAAAAATGGACATAATATGTTTCTGGTTGTTGTTTTTTTTACGATATTAACCTTACATACTTCTTTTTCTACCATTACTTCATCACCTCGATTTACAGAAATTAAATTCCATTAGAAAACAATAAAGTAGTCTTTATCAGTTTGAAACTTTTAACTGAATATAAAAAAAAACAAACTTGGTGGCTTATCTTTATAACAGTTTGTGAATACAAACAAAAAGTCAAAATTTAATTTTATGGAAATGTTGAAAACTAACACAAAATAAGTAATAATAACTTACCAAAAAGCAAAAGCAAAATCCTTGTGAAAAATTCAATAGGACAACAAGCATTAACATTTTTATTACTTGAAATGTAATTCAAATAGATACCCATCTCTCTCTACCACAAAGAGCTATTTACCATGAGCACAATCTCATGTAAATTCCCGCATATGCCACAAGCCTTGAACAAAGCTCCTACCTCCACACTTGTAAATATTTATTGTTCCAGCCTATGATGTAATATTCATTAATGTATATCCCTCTACCAACAGGAAGGCGACACATCTTCCAGACTCAGTAATCCCAATGAGGACTAGCACATGAATTCAAATTCATTCTTGACAAGGCAAACTAAATGCACTGGAAGTGAGAATGAGAGGCAGGTGGTGGTGCAGTGAGGTATCTATCAGAAACACATCTTTAGGTAAGAAAAATGTTAACTTCAGAAACACTACTCACTTCCCTGCAGCACAGAGCTAGAATCATATACTGAAGATGATGGAGGGACCAGTGCAGATAAATCACAAAGATAAGCTCTTTTATGAAAATAGTGTCAGATGGGGAAAGCCCATGGAACATGACATTCCCGAGACGAGAGGTAACCTAGTGGGACAGCACTTGGTGGGAGACCACATCCATCTCAAGCAGGGAATACTCTTTGTCAAATACAGGTGGCAGAGCATAAAATATTGTCCTAAGAATCTTTTTCTTTGTGCTAACCCATATTTGTAAATGTAACGAGCCCACAGACTGACTTCTGAACCTTGAAGGGCTCCAAACAGATGCAAGTCTATGAAAAATGGGAGGGGAGATGAGAAATCCAGAGTTATGTGGGCTTGAGTGAGCCAACATGATAATGACAGGTGAGAAGAAAACAGTGTATCTCTGGATATAACTGCATTGGCAGGCCAGAGATTACTGAAGGGGACACATATGTGTATATCTGAAAAGAAAGAGGGACTCGAGGAAAAGGCTCACGTAGGAAATGAAGGAGACACGAGAGCACTTGTATCATGTAGCAAAGACAAAGAACTAAGACTAAGACCCTAATATGAAGTGAGAGAGACCCCCAAGTGAATGAAATATAGGGTAGGGATTGAGATTGAAAGGGAAAGCTGAACCAGTCATCCTAAACAAAATGATTCTCGAAGGAGAAGGGAGCTCATAACAGAGGAATCAAACACTTGTAGAGAAGTTGAAAAACAGGCCTCAAGTAAAAAACTCACCATACCCAATGAGAAAATTATAAACTCAAAAGAAAGGACTGAGAACCAAATGTTCAACCACTGCAGACAAACCACAGGAAGCAAAATGCAGGCAGACAAATAATGGTATGGAGAAATTGTCTGAGACCCTGAATTTGGTCATCCACCACATGGAAGAGTATCCATATTGAACCAAGGAAAAACCAAAGTTGGATCAAGTGGGACAGTTCTAATCTGTTCACACAACCACTTGTGTTAATATGGATGATAAAAAAAAGGGAGTAAAATCCCAGAGTGAGATTGAGAAATTGTCCCATGGCATGTTAAATAGGTGATGCGGAGAGTAGAACTACAGGAAAAAAAAACCCTGAGAAACTCAGTATGTTGTAGCAAAGGGAGTCCACCAATGAACAAAGCTGGAGAGCCAAGAAGTAGTTCCAGAAACAAACCTACAAGACCCATCATGGTCAGTTCTCAAGGATAGGAGATTGTGGATGGTAATAATAGGACAAGGAAGAGAAGAGGGGGTGACCCCTATGAAGCCATATACAATGAGAAACCTGGATGGATCCCATGGGTTCAAAGGCAAGAAACTAAAATGAGTAATAGAGATAACTGCTGAAGAGCTGTATCAGCTCAATATTCCCTTTGCAAAAAAAATACCCACAAAATACACATCACAAATAAAAAGTGCAACACAGAGGTTCTGGAAAGGAGATTGAAAAAGATGAAAGTCAGAAAGTAAGGCAACCTGACAAATTAAATCCTACAAACAAAGTACCTAAGATAAATGGGACAAACTACTGAGAGCAAAATAGAAAAAAAAAAGGTAATGGAAGTTGCCTCAGTAAAGCTGATAGGGTCATGATGGAAAACCTCCAAATAAATGTAAAGCATGAGAACAAAGATGTTGAGAAAGGGATGAAAATGAGTAGATTGAGAGAAAGAAAAAATTAATGAAAAAGATATTCCTAAAATGAAAGAAAAGATGCAGGTGAACGATGCTCATGCAACAACAGAAACTTAGATTCAAACAAAAATTACTGGAGAAAGAGAAAACAAAAGACGCATACCTGTAATCCAAGCAGTGAAGGATGAAAGTGGGATTACTTGATCCATGTCTGGAAAAGGGAATGAGAAGCAAAAGAACATGTAGAAAGAACACTGGTGAAACACTCATAAGTTGGAGTAGGTTCAGCTGAAGTAGCAGTAGGAATAGGTCGGGATACTCAGATCCAAGATCAGAATGGAATTAACCACTTTGTGTACAAAGGCAGTAATATCACTAATCACAAGTGTCTCCAGTTGCCATGAAAGATTGGATGAATCCTGTGGAGAAGTGTTAAAAATCTTGGGAGGTGTTAGAAACATGGAAATATGAATGCATAATCCATTTAATCCACAAAACCGATGTTGTGGTGGTCCATTTATGTAAAATACAGAAAGGTGGATTTCGTTAATTTTGTTTATGTTATCAGTTAGAAAGAAAATGAGCCAGGTATGGAAACAGTGCATAGGCATAATGAAGACAATGAAAAGAGTGCTGGACAAAATCCTTATGTTGAATTAAACAATGGCGCATGTGTCTAAAAAGAATTAAGTAGACGAAAATCAAATTGAAGATAATTTGAATGAAAGTTTTAACTAACAAGTGTCATTATTTTATATATTCAAGAAAATTAAGAAATGAAAGACTACATGATGAATAGTTACAGAAAATTAAAACAATAAGTGCAAAGATGCTGCTAAATTTAATAAAAAATACACATCTGAAGACAAGCAGCTTCAAAGAAAGAATGAGCCCGTGCTCACGTGCTAGTACTCATGGTGATTATTATGAATGGAAGATGTGTCATCCTCCTATTGGTGAAAATCTGTAGTCTAATGATGATTACATCATAAGCTGGCACAATATATTTCTACACTGGTAAGGGGTGGGAGGTAGCAAGTGCAGGAAATGACAGTACATACAAGGTAATAGGTCTTTGTATAGCAGAGAAGTAAGAAGCATTTCCGATTTTTTTTTATAAAATCAACGCATCTTAAAAAAGTCTCTAATTACTACTGTTTTACAACATTTGTAATAGTAGATGTCATAAAATCTGAAAAAAAGGTATTAATACTGATGTACATGCAGACAACACTTCCAAAGCAGAAGCGACACAAACTCAAATCATTCTTCATTATTATTGTAATGTTTCTAATATGACTCAAATCATTCTTCATTATTATTGTAATGTTTCTAATATGACTCAAATCATTACCAGGTGCCTTCTATTTCCAACATATTTTGAATTAATTTATTGCTTCATGAAAGTTGAATATGTAAATTAGATTTAAGGAACTGACTGTTTTGAAAACTGAGTGATGTGGCTCTGTGGAAATGCTGTGCATAAATAGAAAATGTGTGCCAAAACATTTAGCTGACAGACAAAAATTTCCCTCAAGAACAAAACATAATTTTGACAAAAAAAACAGAAGAGGATTTCAAATCCATGGCAGAACTACAGTTTTACACAAAAAATCATGACTACTAAAACAAAATTACTCCTTCATAAAATCAGTACTTCTTAAGCTTTATCTTGCTATATCCTCTTCTTTTTTGTTAAACCAGGAGGGAATTTCTGGTATTTTGTATTAATTCAGTGTATTTAAAAAATACATAAGGAGTTATAGTGCAATAATAACATCTTTATTGGTACTACTACTGTTCTCTAGTACAGAAACTATTTTAAACATGAAAGACTGTTTACATATGCAAAGACCTCTATAAAAGTCATTATTTTACTTCTAAATGTATGAATGGATTATATAATACTAATTTTAAACATTAACTTAAACCTTGTTTTATTTAATATGAGGCAAGGTATACATCTCCTATCTCAAGAAATTAGCAGTGAGTAAAAAGTCCAAGAAGGTTGGTCGTCTGTGCCCCCAAGATTTTGGAAATTCTGCTTCTGCTACCTTCACTGATGTATTCATGACTTTCATAAATACAATGCACCAGAGTTGAGCAGTTAGTTGAATTTGATAATCAATTAACCACTATCCTCATTAATCAATTACTTTCAACTAACCAATTATTTTCATATCAGACTTGGATTGTTGGAATAATCAAAAATAATAATAATTGAAAACAGTAATTTTGATTAATTGATTCTTTTCATGAATATTAACACTAATCAACTAAGTTGAACAGCTTTGAATTAATAAAAATAATAAAGAGAAATCATAATGACAATGTTTTAATTACTTTCATAATTGGAAAACAGTATTAATTGGAAGCATTAATTTTGTAACAGGAATTGATTTAATTGTAATTTCAATTAACTGATTATTTTATGTGATATTATTCAATGTAATCAATGCTGACAGGTAATCAACTACATTGATTAACTCAAATTAAACTCTCAGCTCTATGACGTACTATAGTTAATACGATTTATTTCTTATTTTCTTGCACACTACTCAAGTGGCAATCTCACTTTGTCCACAAAATTCTTCCACAAAAAATATAAAAATGATGTTCACAATGAATATAAATAAAAAAGCAGTTTTAAAACTGTTCCAAAATTACAAGGGATCAAATAAACTTTTTATCATAGAAATTTTCATATGTATTTGTAATTTTTTAACAAGACTGCTCATAGGCTGCTAACTGAAAGACTGACTTTGCAATATATCATAATAAACACTTACTGGTTGAAGGATACGACAAAATTTGCCCATTCGTTCCACCACCCATGCTTCCTGCTGTGGAACAAAAAGGATAACTGTATTCAAGGGTGTAGTGCTTCTCCATCTAACACATTGCAGCTGCTTGAAGGTGGGAGAAACCTAGTGGAAGGGAAAAAAAATTCAAAAATCAACAAACAAGTAGCATTTTATATTAGCTCCTTTATAAAGTTTTGGATTGTACCAACAATCATAAGTAACCAAATTCACAGAAAAATGTCATTTGAAAGAATTGAAATATCAATTGTATATTTTGTTATAATAGTAAGGGACTGTAATAAATGATTACAATGGTTGGATAACTGACCATCACAACTGAACTATCTAAAATACTGACTGAAGAATATTTATTTGGTTGCATATGCTACAACAGTTTTTAAATCAGATTTTATTACATAACTGTAAAAACATAAGATCGACAGACTCGCTTGCTAACCAACAGTTCTTCCCTTGGCTCTATCTTACAAACACTTTAATTAATTGTTCTAGACCTGGACTGAAATGGTAGGTATTGGGCTATTATTAAAAATGAATAATATGTCATTTTTGTAATCTACTTACAATTATTACTGTGATTCACATATCTTTAAACTTTTATGCTTCTGTAGATATCTCTTGTATAGTATTGTGTTCACATAGACTAGAGAGATTCACATGCAAAAACTATGGTAGTATGTATATGCACATTATGTTGTTTAAGTTTTCCTTTGCTGCTTTACACGTGCTCAATAAAAAATAATAATAATAGCAAAAAGAAAAGTAATAAAGGCTTTAAGCCTTGACTCATCAGGTTTTGAACCTACATATATTTAAAGCAAAGAAAAAGTTGGTATTTTAACAAATGGTCGAATATATATAAATTAAGTAGCTCTGTACTCCATTTACATTTGTTTTAATAATGACACTAAATTATAATTCTACTGTAGTTGAACATGATCTATTTAAAATGGATAAAAATCATAAATTGAAACTTGTTCATTTAATAGTAACTACATGTAATAAAAACTAACTGGTTCACTGATGTTTAAACTAAATTGATCTAGTAATTGTATTTTCTAATATACAATGAGGTATTAAACTCATTAACCACACAGATGACAAAATCAAGATATATATTTTCACTTATGTGCCACAAAGAGCAGTATCAAACACTATATCTTAGTATTTCATTTTATAGCAGTTCTGAATACAAATATAAGAAAAACATTTTTTAAATCAAACTTTGTATAAGATTTTGGTAAGGCTTAATGTATCATGGCTGATCCCCTTTCTACAGGAAAAGTATTAACTTGCTAGTAAAAGCATATAGACAAGATTCTAAAATACTTGGTTTAAAAACTTAAGCAATAAAGGAAAACTTAAAGATTTGAACTTGTTTTCTAAGGAAGGAATAAAAATAGGAAGTGCAGTCATTTAAGTTTTATATTGTTAAGGCCTGGATAATTTGTTAAAGTGATGATCTGAGGATATTATTCATAGTTACTGTTGAGAAAATTAGGAGATATTTTATATACAAAAGATTCCTGAAAAAGCTTATCCTTTTTTTGCAACATTTTATAGGAAATTGATGATTTCATAGTGCAAATGCTGCTAGTTTGAACAGATTTTAAAGCTTGACCTAACAGAAAAGAAATGATTATTTGTTAAATTTTGTGCAAAACTACTAGAGAGCTATTTGTGCTAGCCATCCATAATTTTGAAGTGATGGGTTAGAGGGAAGGCAGTTGGTCAATATCAGTATCAGCCATTGTCAACTCTTACCAATGAATAGTATGATTACCACATTATATAACCTCAACAGCTGAATGGAAAGGCATGTTCAGCAACAGGTTTTGACCTCACGACCCTCAGATTGTGAGCTGAGCAGCCTAACCATTGGGCAATGTCAGGCTTGACGAAAGATGAGACTACCTTTGTAGCTTAGGAGCATGAAGCCATCAAATGGGGTGAACAAACCAGCAGGTTTTTGTGCAAGAGACAAACAGATAAGGTCACATATGATAGTAATATGAGCCTTTCTTTAAAGCTTGTACTTATTTAAACCTCTTCTCTGTAGCATAAAAATTATATCCAGTGTCTATTAAATGTTAACCATCATAATGTTCAATGTACGAGATACATTATAGTACATATTTATGTTTTTCTTCTGTGCACCTTCCACATTCTAGGAAGTCAGATATCTCCTGCATTAAATTTCCTTCTTCACAATATCATAACTATCGTTTTCCTCACATAAGAGACAAACTATTTTAGTACTTAGCAGTACTACCAAACTTTCTCTTTATGATATTACTATTAATATTCTAACAAAAAATCAAAATGTAAATCATCTATATCTTATACTTATAGTCTAAATTACTTTATGATTTATCAAACCACAAACTATATCGAACTTCCAACTATCAATATATCAAATTCAAATTCAATAAAGAATATATACAGTTGACAAAACACTGTAAATTAAACCTCAGCCGTTATTCAGCAAGTTGTCAGTGATTGTAGATAAATCTTTAGTTTTCTACAGATTATGGATTAACGGCATGAAATGACATACTGTTATTTAAGTTAGTTTGTTTTTTGCTTAGGCCTATGCTTTATAATTTTAATGTACAATCCCAAATTATTAAATTGCTCTAAGCCTAAATCACACTGTTAGTGTCACTGAACTCTCATGCCGACTCACAGAAGTAATGTGTAAATATTGAAAAAGAAGTTCATGTGAGGACAATATAAAGTAAACAACGTGAAAAACTACGTTAAGGAACTAACCAATCCGTTTTGAAAAACAGATAATTTTCCTGAAGTTACATATCTTGATGCCGATTTCACAAACCTTAACGACGACGGAACCATTTTCCTAAAAAATAATTACAAACGCAGCGCTACCTGTCGTTTGTTACCTTAAGAATACCTTATAACTTAAAATTACAAAAACAAAAAATCCAATATATAGAAATAAGTTTGAAATTCATAGTATATAGAAAAATTATGTACCAGTATCATATATCTTTATAATTGAAACTGTTGTATAACGTTTATAACGTAAGTATTATAAATTAGATAATTTCAGTTTGCGATGTCGTTTAATAAGTTTATGTAATATTCTGAAATTACAGTTCTCCTGTGGAAGATAAACCTGCTTTTAACCAACTACATGCATTCAGTCGTTTCCTCATCAAGAAGAAATCCCTGCTTCCTTAGTAAACGAAGTTGAAATTTTCCACTACTCCTTTTTCCTCATCTTACCTTAATACCATCCAGGTTTCATCGCACACTGGTCAGGTAGAATATTCGGCTCCTGATCAGTGAAAGTGGGTTTTCTCGGGGCATCCCGTTTTTCCCAGCTAATTCTCCAGGCATAGGATTTATTGATCCCCGCCTCCCTGAAGGACTATAAGTCCAATAGAGGCCGTTTGTTTGTTTTGTTTTTACACCTAGTGAGAGAAGACCCAATGAATTCCACAAAAATACAATCCAGCAAGCAGTAATAATCTTCTCCGACCTTCTTCCGGCACTAGACATTCACCATCAAAATTCAACTTCCACTCGCTACAGCCAGGGCTTGAGTTGGGGGGGGGGGGCGAAACGGAGCGCCTTATTGCGAAAACGTTACTGATGTTAGAAATTTTTATGAAAATGTTCCTATTGTAGAATGTCCAAGGATATATGTAAATTTAAAGATAACTTACCACAATCTTACCAATTCATATCGTTTATGAAGGCCTACTTTGCGACATGCCATTTTTCTACATTTGAGTTACTTTTCTGTGTCAACATACATTGTGACGTCATCAAATAATCGAAATAAAAAACTCTGGCGGCCCCGGACCTCCCGCCTCATAGGGGCTGTGAACCTGAGCTTCACTTAATAACTTTACATAACTCAAGCTTTGGATACAACTCTAACTACAAACTTACCAGTACACCTCTAATCCATTACCACAAGCAGGGCGAAAAGTAATAACTGTTTCTGATCAATAAACCCCGTGAGATCCTAAACCGAAATACCTACCAAGATGATTGATTTTTTTCTCTCTCTCTCTCTAGTGGATCAGTCTCAAGTTTACTGCCTTGCGACGCTATATTCCGGCGTTCGATTCTTTGTGGTGGACAGAGTGCAGATAACCAATAATGTAGCTTTGCGCTAAAGAGAAACAAACAAGTTTATTTAATTGTTAATTCTGTCAGGTTTGAGTATTCAAAGCTTCGAAAACACAAACGGTACGAAAATAATTTCTTTGTATTAAGTTCATTAAATAACTATAAAAAATATTTGATCTCTATGTTGTTTCGTGAAAATTACAACAAGATTTTTCATAGAAAAACACTTCTGTAATTAACAGAAAACTCTGCTGGTATAGGATTGTTACATAAATTATATTTTTGAAGATAAAATTTTGGACGACCTGTGGCGTGGGTTAGCACTATGGCAGAGCTCTGGATTTCGGAGCTGGCGTTTGAATCCGTTCAATGCTAAAAAAGATTCCTCCCACTTTAAACAGCTTGTGCGTTATATGCGAGATAGCCAATCTCTTCGCTTTGTAATTTCTTTTGTATCACGAGCGGCACATAGGGAATTGCTTAATTTATGAGCACCCCAGGTTCTGTGCATTTATTTTTGAATTTTGCGGAAAACTACTCGAGGGCTATCTGTACTAGCTGTAACTAATTTAGCAGTGGAGGCAGCTAATCAACCACACCCACCACCAACTCTTGGACTACTCTTTTACCAATAATAGTGGGATCGACCTTCATGTTATAACGTCCCCACGGCTGAAAGGGCAAGTATGTTCGGTGATAGGGATTCGAACCAGCGAGTCCAACGCCATAACCACCAGGCTCCCGGGTTTTAAACCCCAAATCCCTATGAATAAGAAACAAATAAAAGTGGATTTTAAAAGACCCGAGTGCTTTAGAATAGTCCATTATTCAATAGCGCTTGGTTTTCTGTGTTTTTATACATCCAATGTACTTGATTTTTTTATTGTTTATTTTTGTAATTCTTGAGATAATTATTTCATTAAGGCAAACAAATAAAATATATGCTCGATTCATCACCATGATCGTAGTTGAACGTTATTCTCTGCAATAAAATGAACTGTGTTCCAGACCTATTCCGACTGTTCTCAATGAGGAAAAGATGTAAAGGGAACAGTGACATCATTAAGAATAAGATGGCAGAGGAGGTGTACAATTGCAACATGTCCTGCGTATATTTTGCCAGAATTCAGGTATTTAGGTTGAACAATTATTTTAGAAATGTTACAGGAGGAGGTAATTTATATATATCAAATTCGTTTTCGAACAAAAAAGCAAGGCTAATGTATTCGCTGCCATATTCAACCAAAATTACTCTTAACAGAGTCCTTCATATTTCTGTCAAACAATTCCTTGCCTGGTGCTGTCATTGACTTCTTACTCTTAATGCTGTCTATACATGAACTCTTCTCTTTGGCCTCAATTGTCACAAATAGTCTTCATAACAACTCATTTGTCTTTATGATTCTGAAGATAAAGTTTTCCTCCAACTATCTGATACAGTCAAATATTTAGGTGTCATTTTTTAATAAAAACTTCATGTGCAAAGCCAGAAATTCACCCAACTTCTCCAATATTTGACAAGTGCCCCTATGTGTTTAAATACTTCATTTTTTTTTCTACATTTATAATCTTCGTCCAACATTGTCTGACGTATAGGCATACAACTCAGATTTCTGCTACCCCATTCTATTACGATCGACTACAGGTTTTTGAGAGTCATGCATTTCATTCATAATAAGTTACCTAGTTCCACCAAAGATCTTTATGCTTGCATTTGTTTCCCATTTATTCTCTTAAACTTAGGTACTCTATGGACTAAATTCATCACCATTTGTATGTTTCATCATCACAACATCTTTCTGAACTTACTACACATACATGGTAATATTCATCCCCTGAGAAAGGTCTTTCCTCTCACTGAAAGTCTATTCTTCTTATTTTCACATCTCTTCTTGAGGGAGTCCCAACCATAATGCTGCCCCCAAGTTGGGCTTACCATGTTCCATTTAACCTTTCTGAGATTAATCATTTCAAGACTCTGATGACTCCATTCAATATTTCCTGTACATTCACCTTCTTTTCTAACATCATCAACAACTACTTCATAATATGTTTCTCCATCATGTATGCTGCAGTCTATCATAAAATTCCATGGCTGACGAGAAGACATAAATCTCTGATGGCCCATCAGCCCACGGGTTGGAATTAAATAATAGAAAAACAACAACTTTGGTCTCTCATTGATCAACCCAACTAATGATTTCTAGTTCAGAGTAAAAGAACTTTTGTGTAGTGACTTCAGGAATATGAAAAATAAATCTGAAATGCTATTTTTACACACCTCTGATTTTAAATTCCAAATGGACAAATAAAAAGAAATGAGGAAAACCATCTGCAGTTTATGTGATTTTATGTTTAGACATATTGGTTTCCTTGATTATTTCATATTGAAATTATCCTAACTCATTGTTCTCTTTAAATTATAACTTTGCATTTGTTTGAAGTCAAGCACAAAGCAACACAATGGGCTATCCGTGCTCTGCCCATCACGGGTATCGGAACCCAGATTCTAACATTGTAAATCCGCAGATATACCGCTGAGCCACTGAGGGGCAATGACTTTGTGATGAAAGTTAAAACATTATGGTCAAATTTACTCACTTTCCAACCATTACTAACCATCCTCACTGTTTTTGAGTTTGATATTTCTTTTATAATAATGAATAAAACAATTTTATATATTAAAACAAAAGAAAAAAATACCTTATACACATTCTATGTACAATTTGCTCTGTAATAAATAAAATAGCAAAACATTTTATTTTATGAAATATGGTTCTCAAATTCCTTGTTTTGTAGTTCATCTTTTACCTGATTTCTTGTTTGATAGTTCACGTTAGAACTATGAAATGTCACAAAATAAATAAGATGAAAGAATCTGATTAGCTTAAAATTTGTATAATCAAGTCCCAAGTAGTGCAAAAATGCACAGGACAGAGAATGTTTTGTACCTTTTCAATCATCAAGTAGTTTCACAGATTGCACCTTTTTTCAAATATGTTAATGAAAATATACCTAATATTCAGGTTTAAATATAAAAAGCATCAGTATATGACAAACGCAAGTCTTGAGGAATAACTGGTCAGAAACACTATTGTTTTCCATTATATTTTTGTTGAAATTTCTCAGTACAAAATAATTTGATGAGACAGTGACAACATTGATAAGATTTGCTATACTTGTTTCCTACCATTTTTTTTTCTTCCCTTTACTCTCAATATAGTGGAATTTAATTCAGATGAATAACCAAATGTTAAACCTTTAAACTTCTGTTAAAGTTTAATCCATATGATTAAGAATTTGGCCCAAAGAAAATGAAGTTTCTGACACAGAAATGGCTCATTCTTTATCCTTGATACAGGAAACCAGAAGGGACTCTAAGAAGTTAAATGTTGATTACAGAAGTACAAGTAGCTTGAAAGTGGAATTGACACCTACATGTTATAAAGAGGAAAAGATGAACATGTGTTTCAGTGTTATTATGATTCTAATAAAACCTTTCATGATGAATAGGAATAATCATATGTTTGTCTTTAATGCCAATTAGATTATATTTGCATGTTTGTTATTAATTATGTATTGATAAATATTTATCATGGTTGAATACTGTAAACTATAAATGTAAATTAAATGGTTATCTAAAGTAATGTGGCTATGAATAAAAACACAACAGAAACGGTAAGAAGCAAAAACAAAAATGCAGCACTAAGTTTGATCTTTCGGTGTTGACTTTATCTTCATTACTCTGCAGAAGTACAGGTAATAGGCAGTTTAAAAATTTGTATTCAGAAAATGTATAACATATTGTAAGGGAATATATTTCAAACACTAAGAAAAAAACTGCAAGGGTATGTACAAATTCATTTGTAAAAGAAATTAACTTTCACAGTGTTCCAAAATGTTGGATTTCAAAATACTATTTTGAAATTATAAAGTAATAAACAAGAATTATTGCCACCAATAAACAGACAGAACATAACCAAAAACTGAAGTTTTTGCATGACCTACATCCCTAGATCATTAAAACCAATTCAATGAAAACAGATTTCTTCCACATATAACCAATGGTAAATTAAGGTTTTTAAATATGCATCATCATACCGAAACCATAAATATAAAACTTTGAAGGTTTAACAAGATCAAAACTTCAGATGCTGCTAATATTTACAGAGATATTCAATTCCAAATTTCATTTTATTCTTTTAGTTTAGTTCAGAGACAACGTATCAGAATCCACACTTATTACTAATTAGACATTGGAAACATTACGTATATTTACATAGAAGCTTCACTTCATCCTTACTATATTTAGTGCAATTTCATATACTATCCCAATTAAAGTGCTGTAAACCTTCAATAGTTACATTTAAAGTTTACTGTCAAAACCACTGCTCTAATTTACTGAACAGCATGAAAAATCTAGCCTTGAAACAATATTTGTAGTTACAACTTTTTAATGAGGAAATTGAGAAACTATTATTACATAAGAGGTTATACTAGTGTATTTATTTGTTTAAATTACTGTCTACACCCTTTATGCAAAATGGTTATTGTTTTCAGTATGTAGTGTAAAAAAAATATATTTTAATTAATTTTTGTAATTCTATATATTTATTTTTTCATGTTTGGTAGATTATATATCTGCCAAAGATCATGTTCTTACATGTAAAATTTTGCTTTTACTGCAGAAATACAGAATAACTGTTGATTACAAGCTTGCTTTCCCATCGTATTACAGTTAAATATAATAAATATTCTGTTTCTTTAAAAAAATTATTACTTCTACTAATAAATGCAAACTAATTTAATTTCATACACTATACCACGGAATAATTTCAGTTACACTTCTCAACATTTTGCACAGGTTACATTAATATGACAAGCAACATTAGCCTATTTTAGTTAATTGTTGAACAACAGGAACTATAAAAAATTCAATTTTTTGTGAATATATAAAATATACATATATATTACATAGAATAATATATATTTATACTCTCATGACAATAATCAAATAATAGATGCTACAGTTATTTTTTTAAAAACAAATATTTATTTGCTGCTTACAAATTAATTATAATTGGTTCTTCTATTACTATATTGCAGTATGTTGATGAACAATGTGGAGAATTCATTTGACACTTGTAAACACCTTCTGGCAAAATCTATCTTCTGAAAAAAAAATCTACATTTCTAAATTCAAAAGTCTGAAACCCTTCCTTTTCTTTCCCAATCTCCATATCTTGTTGGCTCAGGTCCTCTGGGTCCTCCTATTTCTCCAGTTTTGGGGTTAACATTATCAGGAAAAGGAGCATAAGGGTCAGGTTCTTCACCCACTTCCAAAACTTTGGAACTTTGATTTTCTGTTACAGGCTTACTGGTAGAAATGTTGGAAATTCTTCCCCCTTCTTTGCAAGCATCTGATACGTTTGGAGCTTTTACATTACTATCAGAATGACTTCTCTGGAAAAACCATTGGTATGTACCTGAAAGTGAAAGGCAAATAAAACGAAGGATATTTCAATAATGATAACTTTATGGCACATCAACATTAAAAACTTGTATAAAAGATGTTTTAAATTTAACATCTCCTGCATTTATGTTACAGTTTTAAAATAATATTCTAATATGTACATTACTATACAACATACTGGTATCAAGGGATTATATTTGTCCTTGCACACTCACCATTGAAAAAAAAGTTTATTTCTTTGTAAAGGGTGGAGTTAAATTTTATTAGTTAAACTCTTGTAAAATGCTCTTCACCATTACCACAGATGGCAACATATTATAAGACAATCACTCTTGTCCTATTATCTTCAAATTAAAGCATAAAGAAATCAGTAGCCTTTAAGCTATTGACCCGAAAATCTTGTAAACTTCAATATCACCTTTTAAACTTATACCACATCTGTTCTTGGAAATTATGGGAGAAGGGGCAAGGATAAAGAAGAAATGGCAAGAAAGTGTTTTAGTAAAAAAAGAAAAATTTAAAGTGGGATGACACTTTTGCTCCCCTGATTAGGCATCTATTCTTGGAATCATCCTGGTAACCCTCCTATAAACCCTTTCTGATAAATCAATATCCTTTCATTGATAAGGAGACCAAAACTATACACAATAATCTGTATGTAAAGCTTAAGTAATGATTTGTATAGAGATAAATACTTCTTTTAAGGTGCAATCGATACATCTGTAGACATCCTAAATTTCTATTAGCTTTACTTCTTCCATGCTTAAGTGACTTTCCACCACCATGCCAAAATCTTTTCCTTCAGCCATGCAGTTAAATCTGTGACTAAAATTATAATAAACACAAATGCATCACTTTGCACTAACTATAATTAAGATCATTTGTCAAATATTTGTCCAATTTACCAACTGATTCTATCCATTCTGTAATATCTTAACAATCAAACATCCACAATGCAGCTAAAAATACCCAGGAGATTAATACCATAAGCAAACTTTACTAATGCCCTAATTATGCTGCTATCAGTATCATTAATGTAAACAAGACAAAGACCAAAGCACTGGTCCCCTAAGGCACTCCACAAGTAGCAAGGGTCCAGTTTGACAGGACTCCATTAACAACCTTTGTTTTCTTTTATCCATTACAATCCAATTAACTAGTTTTTCCTAAAACATTACCTATTATATTTTCTTAACTAATCTTTAGTGTGGCATCTTATCAAAAGCTTTTACTGAACTGAAATGATCACTAGGTGATAATTCAAGGGGTTACACTGACATCTCATGCGGAGACTAGCTGCCTCGCAGGAGGTAGAAGAGTTCCTTTACTAATGTTGCCAGTGTCCTTATGGCTCCATACTGTCCTGTTGATTCAACATATATTTTTCACTAATTACAACATATGATACTTTGCCTTCCAGTAGTCTCATTCTCTGCCTGGCCTGGTACATAAATTCCAATGGTGCTCTTACATACAGTTGCTTTGATTTCTGCCATCCATTTAGGGGCCAACCAATCTGAATTTTGTGGTATTTCCTGTGAGTTAGTTGCACTGTATTTGTGGTTGTTTTCAGCAATCCAAAGAAGAGTCTGTTTTATGTCTTTCATCTCCATCCTTGAGCTATTTGTTGTAAGCATGAATGCTCCATTAGCCATAGGCAGAATACTGTTGATCCAAGAGACTATGAATGCCCAACCAGCTCTTTCACTATGTTTAATGTCAGAACTATCTGTGGCTAAAATGACAGGTGACTATCCATGATGATTTTTAAATAATAAGTGCTGAAAGACTTTTTATGCTTCACCATCTACCTAATCTACACATTTTTCACTGTCTAGGCTGATTTTCACACACCTCAGTGGCACCAACTTTTTATTTCACACAAAGAACTGAGATCTAGTGATGATGTATTATCTCAGTACACTTGTCCACCCATGACTGTCTTTTATGAGAGGTGCCAAGACTTAAACATGTGTTTTGTATCTTTTCAATCAAGTTTTCTGAAGATACTAATGCATTAAGTTCACACCATGTACATTACCTATTCAGATAAGTAACATCATTGACAAAAAAGATTATAGATTAATAATACAAGATTTTCCTTT